TTCAAATAAAAAGGTGCAAGGATAACGAAACACCTGTCTATATCATTATCACCTTGGTAAATAAAGCCAACTTATCAACGACACCTTATTGTCATCAGTTTCGTTAACTATAAATGGGCGTTAATGGCAAGCTGCATTATACCTGACAACACTCAAGCGGCCCCCTTGTTTTTGTAAGATGTAATAAAGCACTCACTACATATGGTCTGAAACAGCAATGATTTCAGGCGACATGTTTGTTGATTCAGGCAGCCGATTTCAAATAACAGCATATGGGCCCAGTGCCTATCTTCTTTCGATTTGGAGGTTTGCTGGCAACAATATTATACGGCGAATTAAATTAGTATTCAGACGGTCTATCTTGTGGAGGAAATCAGATTTGGATTAAAATTGTATAAACTTGTGTTCTTTTTTGTATCATCATTAGATAAGTTAACGTACATGTATGATACTATGTAATAGTATTCACTTTCAATTTTTGCATTAGTATATTCTAAGGACTCCATAACCAAGTTACAATGTTGGCTGGATTTATTTCTCTGTATGACTGACGTAGCGAGCTCAAGTAGCTATTTAAAACCGTGAGAGAGAAGTGAAGTGTGTCTTGTAACCCGCGTCCTCTTCATGCATGCTCTCAGGACGACAAAATGCAGGTGTAACGAAACGTCGCTGTGTGTCCCGCCTCAAGTATTACCATTAATGAAATGCTCGGGTCTCGCTACAAGGCGAAGTCCCAGCTGACACCATACTGGGAAATCTTCAGTCTCATATTGGATGTGGTACTTGATCTTTGATGTAAGGGTTACGATACTGATTCCACCATGCCCGAGCTGTTTTCAAAGATAGAATCCAGATGTAAGCAGGTATAACGATATGGATGACTGGACATAATATTAAACAGACCCTGGGAATCTTGTAATTTAGCTGATTTATAGCTACAGATACACTTACTTTATCAAGAATTGGAAATTGTCATTCGACATGTATTCCGTCTACGACTTGAATACCGGAAACACACGTCCATCGAGGGATTGTACAGATTTTGCTGTTTTCTTTGTGGTCTCGAATTACACTTGCTTAATTATTTTTAGCACACATTCCATTGAGAATACATGGGGGTGTTGGGCCCTTTTGGCGGAAACCAGACTGGCTTAACATCTGGAATAAAAAATCAGGGCATTGATTACATGCAGGAAACCTACATGTTAGAATAGCAAACGTGCCGTAAAGTTCAGTCAGAACAGTTGACTGTTTCGAACTCCCTTGATTTATTATAGCATATGGACAAATAACACATCCGTCAGAGACATTATATGTAGTACACTCTGGTTAGGGCTACGGGAAAAAACACGACAGCCAAAAAACAATCCCAAAGGAGTTCGACATACTCTGAAAACGTATCCAAAAGTCATGCCTGCTGGTGTACAGTTTAGATGCCTAAAGTGCAAAAAGACACAAAGAGAGTAACAGTCTGCCCTTACTTAGTCCGTCCGTGTATTTGAGAAATTCCTTCAAATTGGATTCTTTCAAGTCTAATTACCCGTGTTAATTCCAGTCACTTGGGTAACACGGTTAACATGATTCATTTGAATAACCCCACAACAATAACCAAAACAAACTCTGCAGTCAACCTTACCTTAATTGATGCTTTCCATAGATGCGTTTACTGAATAATATGTAATGCGTTCAATATGTAATTGTCTTAATGGCAATTTGACCTCGGTATATTTTTGAGGAAAGCAAACTTGTTTTCTGGCTGATTGAGCCCAGTTGGTGTTGCACGTTAGTTTTTAGGCTAACTCTAAATTCAGGGGCTCCAACGCAAACAGAACGACACGTACATGTCAGTGTCATGGCATCGCATACATTGGCATGTGCTAAATCTTATCTGTTTATTTTTCGAAGAAGAAAGAATTACACAACATTTTTTAATAAAAACAAATCTTTATCAGTTTTAGAGTACTGTTGCAACTTTGCAAACTGCAATACTTTATTTATATACATTATACAGAGGGTTTGTATGGCCACCATCTCTCAGGACAGTGCTTTTGTTCCACAGGGTATACACAAAGGAGGTTTCTCTGTGGAACAAAAGAACTACCCTGCAAGATGGTTGCCACGCAAAGCCCCCGTATAGATAACATACAAAAGTTGAGCCACATAAAATACTGCCATTTAGAATTTGTTAGAACAGTCTATCATTTTTCATTAAGAGATGGCAACGAAACCTGTATTTCCTAATAAATGCTTGTAGTCTAGATGTTTTCATTCATCGTATACCCATCAAACTTTTTATCCGTCAAAATTTTGTCAATTTGCATTTGTTGTCTATATTTGTCTATGTTATCTATATTATCGATATATCGAATTTTATTCGTTTTAATTTTCAAGGTATTATAACGTGCTTGAATTGCTAGTAAATTTTTCTAAGGGTACACCTATACACCATAATGATGTGATCCAATTCACTTTGGCGACATGTTCTAGCGTCCGTATTGCGTACGTTGCATACATGGGATGGGATGCACATTGCCGTGCTTTGCAATATCATCAGCACGTGGTCCCAGTCTACGTACGTATGGTTAGCAAATAATTCTCTATTTTGGAGGATAATTTTGTGATATTTTCGAGGCAAAGTGTACACGAATTATTGAGTGCAAGACTGAGATAGGTGACAGAATTTACTCTTCAAATGTCGCCGCATAAGCTGCCCGGAGTATAAGCTACTGAGATATTTTTCACTCAGCATATGAGAGCCAACGTAAGCCGTGGCTTATCGAAAATTGCAGTAATGTGACGACGCGCGTTCTCACTCTTTAACAAAGTTCGTTCCTCAGTAGTGATATTTCGATATGTTTTTCAATATCGATGTTTTAGAAGTTTCGATGTTTTCGATATTTCTCCAAAATCCGGTATTTTCGATATATGGATATTACCAAATAACTGACATCGGCTATATCGATATCAGACCCATATCGATAATATCGATATATTGATATATCGACGGTGCTTATAAAAGCCTGACTTTGTCGGCAAATAACTTGACGGGACGTGGAGAAGATTAAAGCGATAAGCTGTTTATAAGAGCTGAGGACAAACTGAACACAACCACAACATGATGGTTTCTATCAATGCATCCACACGTGAGGAAGCTAGGCGCAGGGCTAGTTTAATGATCTATACTTCGACAGCCCCCCCCCCAAAAGATAGAAAAAACGTCACACGAATATACTGTCTGTTTTCAATATAAATGTCGCCTGGTGGTATTTATGACTCCATGAGTTTGAAGAGGATCCCTTTTTGCTTGACGTTGCTTTTTTATTTCATCTTATTTGCTTTCAGCGATCCAATTATACGCTTCAGTAAATATTAGCACTCAATATTGAGTTCATGACAGTTTTGGACAAAAAGGGTTACTCTTGGGTATGTTTCAGTGTGGGGTGCTGTCAGTAGTTCCTTAGAAATCAGACTGCTATAGTGAAATGCGCGCACTATCTTTAGACTTAAAGGTTTCTTGGGGGGGACACACTGTAGAGATAAAAATTCTCCTTTTGCTCGCAAATTACAAAGGTTTTTTAAAAGACGCGTACGCATGCAAAATTATTTTATGAAGACTTTGCCCCCTCGCTTTTGCCCCCCCGCAACCTCACTGAGGTCATTGTTTACGACTTAAACCTTAGAGGAGAGGGAATGGACCGTTTCAATTGATTGTTTAAGCAGCCAACTTTTTCTCCTCATACTCCTTCGTTGAGATATTAGAAGCGGCGTATTGGAAGGTTTTTACATAACATATCGAAATTGTAAAATTACAAGATCTGACAACTGTTGTTTTAATTTTGACTGTACTTTCAACTTCTGCTTGATAGGCCTATTTATAAACTAAAACAGCCGACGTTCTCATTCAAGTATGCATGAGCAGCAACATCAGGTCGATAGATTTATGGCGCTTGCGTGCTTCAACCACTTCGCCTGTAGTCACTATACAGGTGTTTCTAGTGCCTAAAACATTTCTTCAGTGGAGGTACAGATCACGAATTATAAACGTACTGAATGAAATGCATTGCCGTCATCACCGGGTATCTGAGCACATCCAAAAACGGTGGAGAAGTAAGCCTTTATTCTGTGGAATAGGAAGACAGCTATTTCATCGATGACAAATATCACCTGCAGTTAAGCCTTTCCATGAGGCAACAAGTACCAAAGAGTTTGAGACAGTAAATGATACCTCTACCTGGCTGTTGTCATGTAGAAACTCTTCTACTGTCTTCGTGAAAAGACAAGCAGGATAAATTTGAGAAAAGGAGATAGGGTGGCTTATTTTGATATGGTATGCAATTACATGCGGGTACAGGTCGACGGAGTAAAACGTGCTATTTTTTACTACTGAACATGAACAATGAAACATTCTGTTCAGCGGACAAATGGATTAAATCATTCTAGCCCTATATCTTATTTGCATAAGGAATCCTTGCAGTTAAATAAAACAATAATAAGCATTGCCCCACCTACTGAATACACAGTTATATGAAGTTAAAATCACTGCTGATATGACAAATGAAACAGGTGACACGTGGGACAGACTCTAGTCAACTGCGGCAGGTATTGCTACGATTGGAGCGATGATGAAGGTTGCATGAAACCAGTTACGAAAGTCTTTAACTGAATATCAAAACGGGTTTTACGTTTTGAAGACGATCGAATCTAAAATTTCTTCGCGCGTGATGTTTCCAAACCAAATGATGTGAATTAGCGTTCGCTATCACTTTTCCAAGGATTTTAGCGAGAAGTTCAATCTAACATAGTCTGTAACAGTAACTTCATTGAGAAAACCAAACCAGAAAACGGGCATAAGCAACATAGGCCTTGTCAGTTCGCTTTGTTGTGCAACGTCACGGTTTCCGGGTATTCGGTCATAGGTTCAATTTCCTTTATTTAATCCTTAACCAAAAAAAAAAACAAAAACAAAAAAACAACCTACTATCGTCAGTTCTCAAACCCACCTGTCTGCGTATGTCTCTTGACACCTGTTCCCTAGGAGAACCATTGTGATGAGTACAATGCCTTCAATTCCACACACACTCATCAGCTTTCCTGTTGCGAGCATATCGGCGGCAGAGTACACAAAACGCCTCCTGAAGAGGTCAAGAAATCAACAAAAACTAAAAACAAAGAAATAAACCTATTAAAGATTGTAGGTCAAAAGACGCGTCCGTGAGACTATCCTCAGAGAACAGGACAGCAGGCCACAACTGAGGGCAGTTCGCGGCCGCAGACAGACTATATATTTCTAGCTAGCCAGCTTCAGTTATTATCGATCACACTTGCAGGGTGATGGCAATGCCGACTGCGAGCCAAAAACGTTGTACTGAACACGGACTCAGGCAATACAACACTTGATACCCGTGAGGGTAGTAATACGCATGCGTTGTCAGATCACCAGTAGAATGAGCAAATCAAAGATTATCAGTACCCGAAGCTAGCATCGCTCTAATTAAAAGATTAAACGAACTCTGCAAGCGCATTTTCGATGTCATTTTGAGGATTTGAGGTCTTTAAAAATAGACTCAAACTTTAAATTTACATTACCTTTGGAAAGGGTAAGGCAGGATAAGCGTGAGCTATAGTGATGGTTGACGGTTGTAAAAAAAATGCGTTGAAAAGTGTTTGTTTTCAAACTGTTCTGTTTTATTGTATAAAATAATATGCACTTGAATCTTTATCGTGTGTTGTACAAAATACAAGTCTTGCATGCGCATAGTGCACCATAAAGAATCGCTTCAACATATTTCCAATAGTACATGTAATTACTACTTACATTACAAGAAAATATAAAACACGTGATTTTCAGCCATGGATTTTCATTAAAACTGTTGAAATAAATAACTGGTATTGGAACTGAATGGTTTAAATTTTGGAGTAATGCCAAGTGCATAATAGCACCGTTATTTGATGGGTTTAAATCAGGCATATCACAAAAGGATTATCCAACTAAGGTTGTGAGCAATTAGGCACCCCCGTTCCAAAATCACCTGTCAGTTAATTAATTCTTTATCTGTCTGACATTTATCGAAAATGTTCTTGGTTTATTTCAAGAATTTTGTTACTGCGATGCTACATTTAATCGCCTTCATTGCTCAAATCAAAGAAATGTTTTTCCCATCCCGCCTTCCAAGTAAAAATAAGCTCGGATAAAACTGTACAGTTTTTAGATTTAAATAATAATGTCAACAAAAAAATAGTCCTATCACGACACAGTTGAATATTAAACGTCGGGTTAAATGTTCACACAGGATCCTACAAATTATTTCAATAGTGTTTCGAACTGGTTCTCGGTGTATTGTTTCAGGAAAACATCAGGTGGTTTCTTCAAGAAAAATCACCCGTCAGAGCAATTTGACCTAGGCAATGATCTGTCTTGATATTGAAAACTAAAGCGTTCAATCACTGTCATGGAAACTGCAAATTGGGCTATAGTGTGTTGATTAAGAATTCCTGGTGCTAGCCTTGCATTCAGACGTTCGATTTTTCGGTACATCTACAGCGGTGCTAAAGTAGTTTGTTCAGACAGGGACATTTTCCATATAAAATCTTGCACGAAATGCGATGTCAAAAATCGTTCAAATTGAAAGGTTCGGCAGTTAGATCGTTGATTTTGCAGTGAGTGCGTCATGGTGCCATAAAAACGTATATTTCTTTGTATCGAGAACAGTTACCGTACAGGCAGCTGGTCTATGATATCATGGAGGCCTGTAGTGTTAAACGGGGTATTGGTCACAAATTCCGCGACACATGGACTCCGTCGATTACGGGGACAAATTCACACTTCACACTTAGTAACACACCTAGTAACGCCATTAGCTGTCAAAACACCATCACTGGTAGCATGATTGAGATGTTACGCTGTGAGGTAGTGTAATATTGAGGCGTTTGATGAATGCAAAGCAATGTGAAATTTCCAACAATATTTCAATAGCTCGGCCTACAACAGCTAAGTATTGGAGTTAATGCTATTGACAAGAAGTTGGGGGAGGAGTCTGGTGTACCAATCACAGATTTGAGAACTTGCCTGGTCTCTTTTTCGCCATCTACAGGACCCACGACCATAACATCAAGTTTGTACACCCCCCCCCCAACTGGCGACAGCTTAAGAGTGTTACCATTAGTTGCCAAAGGTGAAATTCGTCCAAGAAGCTTTGCAATTTGATACACGAGCACACACGTTCAGGGATGTGTCTCCTTCAGGGTTGCAGACATCACACATGTATAGATTTATGTTGGTTTTCCTCTGGCGTAACCTCCCTCGGGGGAAACAACACGAACTGAAGCTTCAAGTGTCGTTCTTTTTTTGGGGGGGGGGTGTAGCTCCAGGTATTTCAGCAACTTGTTTCCATTCCAAGGTGCTGTACCTGGGGGCATCCTGTATAACTTTTGTGTGCGAGGTTTTATGTTTCAAAAATTCTTACAATGCACATAGTAATGCCGGCATGGCCTGTTAAAAATGGGGAATATTAAATTTCATTTTTTCAAAGAATTTTAAGTACTGAAAGTAAAAAAACAATTTCTATTCACGGTCAGATCAGTACCAAATTTCTTCGGGGGAAATTGTTTTCAGGGTTAAAGGAACAATTCAATGAATTTTTCTTAGAATTTTATTTGTGTGTGTATGTCTTTACTCTTCTTGAATGAATGAAGACTGTATGGATATTTTTTCAGTTGCGAGAACTGAAAAGTGCACTTCGCAAACTTTCACAATTGACCAAGCATATGGGGACAGGTGAGGGCGCTTCTGCCGCGATGTGAACCCAGGAAGACATTGCTCAGTTACATATTTTCATGTTCAAATTGTGAACTCAAAATTTTCTATGTGAAAACATTTCTGAAAAAAGGTTGCTCAATGGCTTATTACGATATACTTTACACAACAATAGATAGCCAAAGGAAATTAAATCTACGACACCAGTTTTTTAAAAATCTAGACATTCTTTATGCACAAATCAGAGCAGCATTGAGGTTCAGTGCCTTCGATGACATCTTAGATATGTTCATGAATATGCAAATGTCATTAGCATTAAAACAGAAAAGCTCCAATATCTGGCTTAAAAAACAATAGTTTACAACCAGGTTAATTAAAACCCAAAGGTGTATTTTTAAGGGTTTTTAGCAAAATTTGATAAAATAGTTCTATTACATTGTCCCTTTAAAACAAATGGAAAGATCTTTGTGTTACCTTTTTTGACCCGGGTGCATGACGGAAGACAAAAATGATGGCTTTAAGGGAAAGGAAAATAATAGTCCAAAATTGCCATTCTCTCATTAAAAACCGTCCTCCTTCCCGCCCCATCTGCCAACGTCTGTTTGTATTTTGGGAGTTAGGCCTTTCAAGCTTTTTGTCTTTTTAGACCAAGTTGTCGAATCGTATTAAGATACATGTACCAAAACAAATTGAACTCCGGTACAACATGGAAAATCTCCTACTGATCATCAAAATAATAGGGCCTATCTGTGAGTTTGATCCTTTATGTCCAGTTGATTGTAATGGCGAATTAAAAATGCAGGAACAAAATGTTCGCACCACCGTGACAACTACACGCCCATTTTCAGATTTTTGAAACAGGTCTAATAAAAGACAATGACATTCTTCGATATAACTGGGGCTTAGTGTAACGAAGCATAATTATAAACTCACACAATGGCAAAGGCTATCAGCAGATCAGTTCTGAGGAAGCCTTGATGATGTAGCCTTCACAGAAGCTAAAGTATGTATGATTGACAACTCAGATCGAATCAACGTTCTGCCGTATAAGGGATTCATATTGTGATGCACCTGCTATAATGTTCAACAGATTTACCTAGTATTAAAGTAGCATACTCCTCCACATACTGACCGTGAAGTAGGCAACCGTCTTTTTAGCCTCCGCAGCTGTCACCAAAAGAGCCTTTGGGTGAGTAATTGGCACACGTTTTAACTTGAAATTGTGTCCCAAGTTCCCCCTTATATACAACTGAAAGTTGTCACCGTGACAATAGATTAATTTTGAAATGGTAATTATCCTAAACCTATAACGTAGCTGATGGGTTAAAGGTCACTGGGTGATCCTCACGTCACGGGAGTTGTTTTATGAAAAGCCTAGTCGCAGTCATATAACTACACGTGTCAATTTCCTCTTTTGGTGGGTTACAAAAGCTACAGAAAAGGGTCTCAACTTATATGCTGCTTCAAATTTTCGTTGATATCTCCGTTTTTGAACGATCAGTTTAATTTGGGTTTCCTCCATTACGTGTATTTTTCGAGTGAGTATAAAAGTAGTCCGAAAGAATGAGGCCGTGTCCGAAACGGGCTTCCAGGGCTGTGGCTAGGTCTCCACATAATTATTCCCAAAGGAAAGAAGACCCATGGTGTTCCTACCTCCACACATGCATGAAAGACCCTAGACAAGCTGCAGCAGTAGACAACGATTTTCCGCGTTCACCAGTAGAGGGCTCACTGAAAAAGAAACTGTCTGATTTTGACTCTTGAGGGCTCATTATAATGTAGTCGCTTCGATCCAGGCATTAGGCACGAGGCAGTTCAGACTTCATGTACATGTATTTGTGATCGTCAAATTGAGCACGTTAACAGTATAACCCTATTGTGTATTAAGCCTGTCAGCTGTTAACTATTGAGACTGAATTCAAGATGAGCCAGAAAGATGTTGCAAAGGAAACCTTCACGCTCTATAATCCTCTCCCGCGTAAACTGCAGAAGGACAAAACACTCCTTCAGGTGTTACTTTTTTAACGTCATGAACGTTACCCAACATGCTCAACCGTGTTAACTTACTGTCGTTAGTTAGGCCCAACAGCCCAGCTGAGATTGGACGCCAGTCTTCACTCATTACAACTGACTGTTATCAAGTCATCCTGCCATAGCGAAAAGTTTTTTCAGCACGTTTATTACACTTTTACTCAACAAAAGAAAGCAAAAATTTGGTCATTATTGGGTCACTTATTCGAGCTCCCTGTCCAGAATCACCTAGGGCAAGTTCGGGCATGAATTATTGTTCGACAAGTACTCAGATAAAACTCAAACAACCCTAGTCAGCCTATTTTTCAAAATGTCATTGTTACATTTCACCTTTAGCTGTGATTCTTACAGCGTACATAGGCTAGTTATTGAAATCTTGAACAATTATTTTCACGTTAGTGGTTCACAGCATGCTACTGTGATAGGCCTACATGTAGATCACTGCAGTGATAGACTAGAATCTAATCTGCACATTTGTACAGCGTAGTCCTTTGTGATAAGAAAACAATGGAAAAGAATCATAACCAGGTCACCTTGTGAAAGTCTGTGTATGTTTTCCAGGTGCCCAAAGATCCCAAGGAGTTTGTGACTAGTTTCTTGAGAGCAGTTACTCCCAGGAGACGAGATGAGCAGCTGGAAAAGTTATCTTCTCGGAAAGAAATGGTGATGGATGCAATTAAGTCAAGGAGGAAGTCAGAACGAAGACGAGGAAGAAAGAAGAAAGCCTTGAGTAGTATACAGAAGAAACAGCTGAACATGAAAGATATTCCTCCAGAGCTACAAAAGTAGGTATTTGAGCTTCTACTTACATCAGTGGAGGATGTACAAGTGTACATGATATTGCAGAAACAACATGACCAAGTTTGGATTTCAAAGCCCATGATCTTCTTGGATTAGGCCTAAATCTTCCAGTACATAATAATGAGAATTTTTATCTGACTTTACTCACTCTTTAACGAACAAAATATTCTAAAATATCCTGGCAAGGACAAGGTTGAAGATTTTACTCGCAAAATCTCCAATGTTCTGTCAAATTTTAAATAGGTCAACCCTTGATTAGGGCAGTAACTTTGTTCGATTAGAACAAGCTTGGCACATCCACAAATCATCTAGTTGCTAGTCTCTAACATAATATGCATTTCTCTGTAATTCAAGACACCGAACCATTATGAATGGACCATAAATTTAAGGTTTCACATATTACTCTTACAGCTTTTTATGTATTTCTCCATAATTCAATACACGAAACCATTATGAATGGGCCATAATTTTAAGGTTAACATAATATGCTTACAACTTAATCCGTATGCTTTTCATTATCTAGAACAGTATTTCCTTAGTTAACCACTTCCTTCCGGGCGACCCGTTTTTGAGTACATAGGCTTTATATGCAGAGCCGGGGAGCTCGGAACTGGGACAAAAGAGTCGGGCCTTATAACAAATGACCTTGCTCAGCACAAAAGACTGAGCTGTTGGGCATTACCGATATTTGTTCGCTCTGAATAGTGGAGATAATCCAGCCTTGTTTTGAAACAGTATACCACGGTTTAAGGCATTTAGAGTGAGCGGACTACCACTGGGGACAAAAGCTCTCCACCACCGCAGGGATGAGCTACACAGCACCGCTGCACGCTAATTTGGCCCCTATTGAAAAGAGGTCAGCAGTGCACTGTGCAAGTTTCAGGAACAAAAGAATCTTACGTAACACCGCACAATCTGGGCTCTTTTTCCAACAAGGCTGCAGGCCTGGTTGAAATATTCAAAAGTCTGTGAAGGTAACTGTCAGCTTTAGAGTAGTGCCCAAAGAGTCCTTCATGTGGGTATAAACGGCCATTAAAAGAAATGATGGATTTTTGAAGAATTTTGAAAATGGAAAATCTTGAAAAGGACCTGGCATCTTGTCTTGCTAAAGAAAAATCCACCCGGCAGCAAGTGGTTAATACGGGGTGAGATGGGTGTCTGGATTTTTCCAGACGTGGAGATTCTTTATAAAATGTATTCAGGATATATGAATTTTCTATTTGGCATGGCTTTGCTAAAACTGTAGCCTTATAACTTTCCAAATTTTGTAAAAAAGAAAACGTATATCTGCTGTTACTCTCGCTGGAATGCAGTGGAATGCTGCTGAACTGTTGGAATATATGATGTTAAACCATAATTGGTTCCATTACGATTAATAGCTGTGTATACATGTATGTACATTGTACCATGCATTAACTATCCACACATTGAAGAGCAAATGCTTTAATAACAAAGTACAATACACACTATTCCAGTATTTAGTCAATCAGTTTTTGGCTTATGGAAATTTTATCAGGGACCATTCTGTTTTTGTGGCATGCAGTTCATAAATTGTCACCTCAAAGTTTGATTGATCAAACTGGCACATAAAGTTTTTGATCGTGGAAGAGATCTTTCTGTTGGCAAAGGCCTGAAAATTTCACGGAAAGTTTAGCAGGTCATACGTCAGGTGGAAAAAGAGGAGGATAATCTCTTATTGTGATTATATTTTTAAAAATCGAAAAGTGAGGTTACTGCAGGTGCTTTTAGTGTGATAAAATTTTGAAAAATTCTGGCAGAGGATTGAAGGACTGAAGAAAGAGCTTTTTTTTCTGGATTTTCATTTCCTCAAATCTCACCCCGGGTTAACATGACTCTCAAAGTATAGTACTGAGAAGGCAGTAATATGTAATTTGTATCATGGCTAAACCTCAGAATGAAAAAGCAGGAAGACCTTATAATTTGTGGTTTAATTTTCTCAACAGATATGAGATGTATGAGCCCTTACATCAGCTATGGTTGGATTACATGAGGGACAGTCTACAACTCAAACATCCAACGTAGGTCCTTCCACAGTTCCTAAATAATCTGTGTCGTATGCTCAACCTCTCTTCTGTTTCACATACCTGTACCTTTTTGTACTTTGTGGAGACTGTTCTTTTTAAATATTGCTCGAATTCATCCCATAACTTTTATCAGAATTGATGAACTTCTTTTGCATGTTTCTATCTGCAGAGTCACTGCTGAACATCTGCATATTAAGTTATTACGATGTGATCTACATGGAAGTATCATGACAGGTAAGTATGTGTTCATCTGGTTAGAGCATTCCTGGCCAAATTGTAACCAGTCCAAGTTAGCCTGGTTAACCTGTTACCAGAGTTGGCGAGTTAACCTGTTACCAGAGTTGGCCAATCAACCTATTACCAGAGTTGGCCAGTTAACCTGTTAACAGAGTTGGCCAGTTAACCTGTTACCAGAGTTGGCCAGTAAACCTGTTACCAGAGTTGGCCAGTGAACCTGTTACCAGAGTTAGCCTGATTAACCTGTTACCAGAGTTGGCCAGTAAACCTGTTACCAGAGTTAGCCTGGTTAACCTGTTACCAGCGTTGGCCAGTAAACCTGTGACCAGAGTTGGCCAGTAAACCTGTTACCAGTGTTGGCCAGTTAACCTGTTACCAGAGTTAGCCTGGTTAACCTGTTACCAGCGTTGGCCAGTAAACCTGTAACCAGTGTTGGCCAGTAAACCTGTTACCAGAGTTGGCCAGTTAACCTGTTGCCAGAGTTGGCCAGTGAACCTGTTACGAGAGTTGGCCAGTGAACCTGTTACCAGAGTTGGTCAGGTTTAAATCTGTTACTAATCTGAGTATTGAGCTTACCAGTCCCTGTTGCCAGTCCGAGTTTTCTTTGTCATCCTGTTACATGTTGAAGACCAAGATTTGTTTCTGGTAATTTTCCTGGCAGAGTAGTAGTATACTTCTGCAAGATCTACTGGATTTTGTAAGAAAATAACTTTAGGTGTATTAAGTGGTGCTGCAAGTACGTGCCAAGGTTCGGTTCGGACATGGTTTTGCCGAACTTCGGTTTGGTTCGAGTTCGGACATACGCACGTACACACGTGTACAATGCACATTGAGACAAGCGTGGTGTATATGGTACCTCTGTGTATAAAATGTGTTAATACAAACGATGAATTTCCTCTCCATCCCCATCCACAAGCGAATTCGATGTGAATTTTTTTCCAACCTGTTTCCCCAAATTCTGTTTAAATTCCCTAGAAAGTTACTGTACTGTCGAAGGTGTGACAGTTTCCAACCGGCATGCTCAAATGGGAGTTTCCTCCTTTACAGAATACAAGATGAAATTAGTTTCCAGCGAATTGTGTTTTGATTAATTTTCATGAAACTGATTCAACTACCAAACTATGGCTTTCGATGTATTCGAAGAACCTTCAACCTTCTTTCCCAGAACAGCACCCACATGGCCTTAGGGGCGACTTTCCTTCACTCTTTTTCAAACAGATGACGGTATTTTGTTAGTTGAGATTTGCGAACAACTTAGATCTGGCAAAATTCCATTACAACGTATTCACACAACGACTTTGATCAAACATGATCAAACGATTTGCAAGTTAGGCCACCGCACAAACCAAATCTTGTCATGCGCTGGAGTGCCGCACTGACCCGCCCAGCAAAATCAGTTTTCCCTCTGGGGTTTCCTCCGAGTCCAACTGTGATCAGCATCCAATCAAAGTTCGTTTTGCACAGCCATTCATGACATCATTGGCCCAACATGGAACGTAAGGGCATGGCTATTGGAGATTGGCAAACATAAATCTGAATATACCTAGCAATTGGCTGTAGTGAGAATTTAGAATTCTTGTGCAATGGAAATGCAATACATTGCATGTTCTCGGTCGATTATTAGTGAATTCTCACTACGTGCTTTCTACAACCATCCCGTGACCACCGTGAGTACATGTACATTTACAGTACGTTTGTACATGTACGTGTACATATGCTGAGCGCCGCTGCGGCATAACTCGTTGTCCATTTTTCGTCGTGTTTGCTTTTTATCAAGTTTTCTTGCAGGCATTCTGTGCGCTAGCAATGCCATGCCATTTTAAAGCCAAACATGCAAACCGATCAGTTTGGTTCGGTTCAGTTTAGTTGAATTTGAAAGTACCATGTTTGATGATTTTTTATTCGGTTTGGCAGTTTGGCTGCAGCTCTAGTATTAAGCTAGCTACTCAGTTTCCAAGGACTGGCAGTATTTTAATAGACATAGCACAAGATAAAGTGATCACTGTTTGCCCATCTCTGTGAACAAGGAAACATGCAGAAGGACATAAATAAACCGCCAGTTTCTTTGTTGGCTGTGTGAAAGATGTTCTCAAATATTCTTGTGCCAGGCATAAGACAAACTGTTCTTATCATAATTCAATAATCTGTTTTCTTCTCTAGTAACCAAGTCCAAGTGTCCATCATATATTGGCCAATCTGGCATTGTTGTACAGGAATCCAGAAATGCATTCAAGATGATAACCAAAGCGAATTCTCTTAAAAGTAAGTTCATAATTCATTAGTACTATGATTCATTCTGTTAAACTTATTTCGGACTGCAAACTAAAGTTACAAAACCTAGCAGCAAACAATCAATATGATCTAAGGACACTGCAGCATTTGCTTTAACAGTGAGGTGACTTACTGTTGTAGTTTGGTCAGGAGCTGCAAGACACTTAAACAACTTGGAGAAGAAATTGCTTGTTTTAAGGCTTTGAAAAAGGAATTTATTAGAAAAGCTGGGTCCATCTTGGTCTTGGGGCTACAATTGAAGTTAACTAATTAGAGTAATCATGAAGTCTGTGAAAAGAAATACACGGAAAGCAAGAAATTTGGAAAAATTAAAAAGGATGAATAATGGTGTGAGCAGGATAGCTGATGGTAATTGTACAACTCCACCCCAGCCCAGGGAATTTGATTGAAATGTCCCCTACAATAGTACAACTTGCCAGCTAAATACCCAGGCATAACCTGGCCCCAGCACCATACCCAGGCAAAACCTGATCCCAGCACCATACCCAGGCAAAACCTGATCCCAGCACCATACCCAGGCAAAACCTGATCCCAGCACCACACCCAGGCAAAACCTGACCCCAGCACCACACCCAGGCAAAAACTGCCAAGCCTTTCACCGACAACCTGACCACAGCACAGTACTTGGTAAACTGACTACATATGTTTCCTTCTTCAACTTAGTTTTGCATATTGTTCAGGGTCGTACACTGGATATGCCAGTGAGCTTTTGTGATGGAAACGAGACATCTGATGGATTATTTTGTTAGCCAGTGATCTTATGTAATCAAATATGCAATAGCCTTTTTGGAGCAGTGAAAATCTGTTTATTTCCTCTCTTCCTGTGAAACAAATCAAATTATTGCAACTGGGGTTTTCACAAGAATGTGAAACACATAATTATGAAGCCAGCATTGAACTAAAGGTCATCCTGATGGTCATTAATCTTGGAAAGGGTTTTAAAGCTAGATTCACAAACTTTAAAATCTGGTTTGCTGTGATTTTATTTCTGTTACAGCGATTTATTGTGTAACCGAAAGTCCAGTTGATGCTTGAAGAGTGTAGAATTTAGTAGGGTTTAATGGTGTCAATAAAAATCAGTTTTTATGTCGAGGATTGATACTGGCTTCTAATGACGATGTTGTATAAAATGGCTCAATGTCACTTTAAAAACTCTTCTACTTTCGACTTGATCATGTGTGTCATTACTAACGTCCACTGCAAATATCTATTAGGGGTACATCTTCAGGAAAATCCCAACAACAGGTGCGGCATCCCCATGTGAGACTATGGCACGCACAAGAATGGAATACTGGCTATGGCTCTCCACCGTTGCCTCTTTTGATCAAAATTAAAAGCCTTAGTCGCAGGACAGGACTGGATTATGACTGCCACTGTCATGCACCGCCCCATGCAATCCAATGTTTTAACTAAACTGATACACAGGCAGTGCTTGGTGAACATTGGTGTGAGACACAGGGGACTTTTTTAAATTCCATAAACACAGGCTTACAAAAGCTAATGTGCAACTATATGTTTGGCTGGACTAATCACACTTTCTTTTGGGGGTGTTATAGATGGGAGGGGTGAGATAAACCAAAAAGTATGTGGGGAGAAAGGTAATAATGATCACACTCAAATGCATGCTTGTCTTTTGTCAAGTTGATCTTGCTCTCTTCAACAACTGATTGATTTCCAAATATTACCATCGGCAGTAACTTTCCAAAGGTGATGTTTTGGCTCAATGATTTTGTTCAGGGGAGTGATAAAGTCTATTACGGTATTTTATAAACATAGCCAAAGGAAAGGCAAGCTCATTCTTCAGGTAAAGGCCTGCCTTTCACTTGAGTTGAAATGTGTTCAACTTCACAAATATTTGATTGGATGTCACATTTCACACGTATGAACTAGACAAACAATGCACCCACCATTTGTACATTTTGGTTATGTTAAAGACTGATACAACTTGTCACATTCCTGACATGACATTATCTTCTTCTTGGCAGCTATACCAAAAGCAAGTACAATCTTTACGATGACAATTGACAATCTGGTCATCAACATCTATGGCAATCATCTCAGGTACAGAGCAGGAGATAGAGCCAACAGGAAATTCAAGATCAAACCAACCATAGATTTATAGAGAAATGGGTAAATAATGTGGACAATGAATGGAAACTTCTTATTGTGCTAGTATACAAGGGACTGATCTGAGAAGTGTGTATAAGCAAGCTTCCAATATAGTCTGCTCAAAAAACAGTCGTCTCTACACTGCACATTGATTGAGAAACTAGAGCATTGAGGTTTGGGCATAACATATTTTGTCTCTGAGTAAATATTTAACTATATCAATAAAAATGTTAAGCAATGCTATAAAACTATTTCCAAGGATGGATTTGTACCGGGGAGATGTTAATTAATTTTAGATTTTTGCCCTGCCCGACGTGTATAATAACATAATTTATTACACGTCGGGCAGGGCAAAAATTCTAAAATTTAATGCTATAAAAGATTGCTACCTAAGTGCTATTTCAAGCATGTATTACAATCGTCTGCATTCCTCTGATTGTGCACATTCTGTGAGAAAATGGTTACCATGGGTGACCTTATCAGCATACTTGATGCATTATTCCTTGGCAGATTGCCCACATATTCTTAGACATATCTTCGTATTTTGTTTGGGCCATCGAGGATGCTTTAAATTCTTTTCTTGTTGAATTGGTTGTATACTTTCCATTTCCATTGTAACCAGAATGTTGGCATAAAAATTTACCCTGGATAAAAGAATCTGTCACCATAATAGTAAATACTACATTGTATGATGTCATTTATGAAGAAGTGTAACAAAATAATCAAGTCAACAAATATTAACAGCTAAGCAACAGCAGGCATCTTGAAAGTTGCCTTCCACCAAAAAAGGCAAAGATAAAGTGTGCACTGTTTAAAACAATGAACAATACAAGTAACAAGTGTGCATCTTTTTTTCCTTTTATTGCTAAAATTTGCATAGAAAACAAATTGAATTAAAAAGGTGATAAATTACTTGAATGAGTTGCTGTCCGACACCACCATCCTGCAGTTTCATCTATTGTGGTAATTCTTAGATATATGAATACAATATCCATTACAATCTAGTCTACTGAAACCTTAGAACAGTGTGGAAATCTGATAACATCTTTGTGCAAGAAGCTTTGTTATATGTGTACTCATGGTACTTGGCAAACATTAAATTCCAGTCAAATGGACTTTCTTTTGTTTCAACTTGCATCTGCTTCAAGTTTTAATGAATGTGCAAATGTGTGATATAAGTGTACCATGTGATTTACTTCACACTTGAAAGGATGGACAAGTACATGTACATTTATACCGATATCAATAAGATGTAATGAATGAAGTGATGTGTACTCAATATCCACATTGCAGTCATGGAAAGCTGCCATTAAGTATTTGCTATAATGGAACATTCTAAGAGTAGTTTTTATAATAAGTGAGCAATCCTTGAAATCATTATGTTACATTGTAAGATGGCACTCCATGCATTGTAGATAAAGTTCTCTAGGTTGGGTTTGTATGTTGGGAAATGTCGTATTAGATGAAACTCAAATGCTGACAAACTTGTCAGGCCATAGTGATGCAACTTTTTGAAGTAACTACAAAAGTCTCAGACCAATTTGCATAGTTAAAATAAAGAGCAAGACTAGAATCTTAACAGAGAGGAGCTCTAACCCAACCATGCAGCCAATCTAAATCTGAGAGAGGGATGGATACTGAATTGTCAGGTACCTGTTGAAGCAATTACATTTAAACTTCATGGTCTGTTCAGAACTACTCCAACCCTAACCCAGACAAAGAACTTTTTGCGGTTGAAATCATAAAGCTTGTAAGAGAACAGAAATCCATTATTGAATAAATTGTTGTTAAATGTTCTATTCCTTTAATTTTTACCTCCATTTTATACTTGGTATATTACATATGTATATTTGGTACATGCAAAATAACCAGACAATATATATATATATATATCACCACATTATGAAGTCCGAATGTGTTTTGGGCTCCATTCATACATTCACTGGATGTTTTGTGCTCTGGTAAAATAAATACTAGTCCACGGCAACAATAACAATCCGATTTTTGGGATGGGTTCATATTGATCAAGGAATCACTCATCCAATGATACAAGTAACTTGGATATTTTTTCATTCAGTGACAACTTTGGTAAACAGAGCTGTATTACACAATTTTCTGCAAAATATATACATGTATATCACTCGTTTTGCAAATGTAGTGTTCATGACAATTAGAAATGTTTAACAAGTCTTGTTGATCTTTCACATGCAAAGAAGTTGCCTTATGAGAATGAATCCTCAACGGAAGACAAAGAAATGCAAAAACATGCATGGCAAGAAAGAATATTGGAATATTTAAAAATACTTGATATGAAAAGCATTTTTTACAAGGAGTCAAAAAGAAATTTTGAAAGTGTGATTGTTAATTTGCAAATCAACATTTTAGTACCTGTCCCAAACTCAAGTACTTTTTTCTTGTTTTGAACTCAGTAGTCATACTGAAATGTTAATTCCAACACTGTTGTAAACATTCTAAATAATTCAAATAATCTATAAAAAGCTAGCTGCAGTCATATCCAGTATCAAAACCTGTAATCTGAGCATAAGCCAAGCACAGTATTGTGTGGAATTATAACAAATCTTTTGGAAATGAAATTTGATAATTTGTTCACATACAAGTGTGATATTTTTCTTCTTATAGGAAACAATCCAGGTGTTTCTGTTGACGTTTTATTAATATAAAATTTAAACTCTTATTAGCAAGAAATATTGTTTTCAAAAGTCTGATTTCCAGACTCAAAGCAAAACGTGTGAAAATGGTAATGGTCACTCATCAATGAAACTTGCAATCCCACAAGTGTAAAATTTTGGTATGAATCCACACAAATATTTGACATGAAGTCATCTAACAGAATGAGATATCTACTGCAGATTCCACTGCAGCTAAACCTCAAAAATAAGGATGCTGGCACAGACTAATTTTAAAGCAATTTCATTGGGCAACTTGCATCTCTGAATGTCATAAACCTACAACCTGATTGATTGTCAACATGTGTTGCTAAGCACATCACTGCAGCTACATATGGGTCCACCCACGATCCTTTGTTCTTAATGCCCAGCATTATCAATTTCACAGTGCCGATAAGTTTATTATTCTTTTGTTACTGAACTCTCTGCTCTTTCTTTAATGAGCACCATGAGACTATTCCTTGAAGTTTGTTTAGTCCATTTAACCAAGATCGATCTATCCAACACTGATTTCTATTATTAGTAAAAGATAGTTCTCATTTCCTAGGTAACCAGACAACTCAGTGGACAACATCAAGCTGATAGAAGCATGTACTCCTTGTTTAACAGCAGAAACGATACCCTCTCATGGATTCCTGTCCAGATATTTGAGGAAGTACCTTTATCCTACATCAAAATTCAAATGCATATGCACTAGCTATGGAACAAGTGGTGGCCAGATTAGAACTGGATAACCTCTACAAAGCTGTTCATTTGTCCAGTTAGTAACGGAAAGTGGAGTCACATTTGTTTGATGAGAGTGCCTTCCAAGCTGAAGACCTGTTATGGTGTTTGTCATGTCACTGAATATGAACTCCCATGTTGTTTGAGGAAGATAAGTGTGTTAATGTCTAATTTGCAACCTGCACAATGTGCAGTGATGCTTGTTGATCTCTGGTCGACTGCAAACTTGGATTCTAAACAACTGCCATGATTGAGTTGTAAACATTAAACACAGATATCATGGCAATTATCTTTTACAATAGTTCAGTTGCTAACATGCTGAAAAAAAAATCCAGCTAACTCTGACATGCAAACATCATGCAGAAACCAAGTACTACTGTGGGGTAACATACATCTCTCTCACTTGATTAAAAAAATTGAAATGAAATACCAGGAGAAACATAACATTTCCCAATGGCATCTGCATTTCTGTATGCTTACACCGTACTCATACTCTTTAAATTTAGCAATATTGAAGGTGATATTGACTGTCTATAAGGCAAGGCACTTGAATGAATAAAATTATTGAACAGAAATTCACTACCTTCTGACAAAACCTTAAATCAAAATAAAATCTTGTGGCAGTTTTGGTGTAGCGTATGATAAAGCAGCAAATCATTTAACCATCTATAATCAGAATAGTGTCATTGGTTCCCAGCCACAATGGTGTGCAGTGACTCAGCGTTAGGAATGCAGTGACTATGCAGAATTGATTGATTGCTTAAACATTACAGAATATAATGAGCCATTGAACTTTAAAGCAGCACTATGTAATTTATTTGACCTTTAAATTCTCAATGTCGTACATGCACCTCGTTTTCTACAGTAGTTTTATACTTTAACAGAGGGAAACCATTGTTGGTGTGAAATTGATGGTAACCACAAAATCAGCAACAAATACAAACAGTGGATTATGTCAGTGAAGATGGCTCCAAAATATTTAACTGGAGTCATTCAATGGGTTGGTATAGAGGCATTGACAACAATAAAAATCATCCTGTCCACAAAAGTTGCTCTAAGATTAATCACTGGGATGAGGTGATGTCCAGTGCAGAAATAGCAGGAAAATACTTTTACCTGTCATTTATCTGACCCAAAACCTCAAGTTTGCAATATATAGTATTTAATATATGTCTTATATTCACTATTCAGATCATTACGATTAGGGATATTGTTTCCCATTTAATTCTTTCAGAAACATTTTATCCAGCAAGTTGAGACTATTGACTAATACTACAGAAACTTTCAAACCAATCCTTAAGAGGTGGTTTCATATACATTGCACTTTATAATCCACACAGCATTCGCTTGGGCTGTGCTTTAAGCCTCCATTACAACACACAAACATGAGTTGGTCACATTCCAACTCAAGAGTTATCTACAAAAGCCAATACTTCCACTACAAAAAAAAAAAAAAATCAGACAAAATCAATTCTTACAAATGACCTATTAAAACTTCTGGGCTCAATTTTCTGAGACTTCTAATTTAACAAGAGCAAATTTCTAACTGCCATGTTACCTGGTAAACAAATTCAACTTGTTTTGCAAGATCTGTGAACCACTTGAAACAGAAATCCACCTTATTACAACTCTCTCCGGGTAAACCTCTTATGACTTCTTATCCACTTTATATTTGTTCCCAAAGCTATCAATAGCTTTCCCTTTTGAACTGAATAATCCGAAGGAACTTAGTTGTTTGTTGAAATATCTCCCTTAGGAACATTTTAGCATGCTGTTAAGATGAAGGGCTCTTGAGATTTTGTCATGAGTAAGTGGAGCCGAGATTGGTTGACTGGGAGACGGACCGTGTGACTCTCTTGACGAGGTATGTCTTCAGTTTCCCCTTGCCTTTAACCGATACATACCCTCTGCTCTCACAGTAATATCCAAAATCCATCAGTACTATAGCTGTGGGTTCAGTTACCTGTGGATTAGAAACCATTTGAAAAACAGAAAAGCAGAAATTAATAATGTCCAGATAATCTAAGAACACAAAACCTTCACATTATACTGCTCATAGATACAGTATCAGTATATTCCTCCCTCAAAGTCATGCTAAATTCCTAGAGATCACTGACATCTTGTACTGAATGTGTGACAATATCTCACCATGTCTATCATCTAGCTATTACCTATCTTCGTCCACCCTCCTCGCTTCCTCCCCTTACTTCTTCCAACCATTCCCCATCCCTCCTCACTATGGTATTGATATCCCATCTTATTTTTCTGGTTCATTTTGAATTTCTGTATTTTACCCTCATCCTTCAACCAACCCCTTCCCACATACAACCTCTACCCCATATCCTATTGGCTACATTGGCCATATGCATGATGCCCCATTTTACATACTGCGGTTTCTGAGCACCAATGACGTATTGCATCCCCCCCTATATTTTAATGAGTGTCTCACCACATGTCGCCTACCTGTATCTCCCCTATCAGTCCTGTTGTGTCCATCCTACTTGCCACATTGACAGTATTGCCCCATATGTCATACTGCGGTTTCTGAGCCCCAATAACACCAGCCACCACTGAACCATGGTTTATTCCTGCAGTTCAAGGAACAAAATAATTGAAAAATAATAAATCCACAAAATTAGGAATGCTATTTCAGTTACATTACCAATTAGAGCTGTGAACTTGTAATGGTTCCTTTTTGCCTTTTAACTCTGATAATTAGGCTATCAATCCCATTTGACTAGGTTGGTTTCAGTCCAACAATACGGGCGATTCACAATAGTGCGCCTCCAAGAGTTTGCAATGCGTTGGTCAATCACTATGTGTGAAATTTGTCGACCCAATACGCGTTTAGAAAGGGTTTGGAAATTTTGTGCATTGTGGTTGGCCAACGCATTGCAAACTCTTGGAGGCGCACCATTGTGAATTGCCCGTGTTATTCTAATGCTTTTCCCAATCACTTCCATCCTGAAATCTCCCTCCTAATTCCCCCCCCCTTGTACAATTAAAGCTGGACCAGATACCAAAAATCTATCATAACACCTCACCACTCTCTCTCGTGAACTTTCACTTACACTGTGTACATCTCCTTGCGCTTATACATGGGGCCTTGTGGGATGCCGGAACAATGGGAAGTACCCCACAAGGCCAGTTTTTACCTTGTGGGGTACCGAAATTGGTACCCCACAAGAATTTCACAAAACTGATATTTGGAAATAACTCAAAAGGGGGAAATTTTTGATGGGTAAAAATCTGTTGTAAATTTAAGTGTTTTACATAAGGGACATCCGGTCGAAATTTCAACCCAGGAAAGTGAATTTGGTTTAAAGTGGAGTGATTTGAAATTTTTTGTGTGTTGTGTGGGAGTTTTGTACACGAGAACAAAGGAAATAACCCTAAAGTATAGCTGTGTAAGGATGTATGCACTAACTTGAGTCATTGTGGGTGTGGGCGGGGCATAAGTAAACGTAAGGAGGAGGTCCACCATTATGATAAGATTCTACTGCTATTTATCAGGTTTTACCTATTCTGAGTTTGAAGTCATTGAATGCTTGAGCATTCAGATATTCCAACTTGTCTTGTAGAGCCATAGCAAATTCTGTCAGCACCCCTACGTAGTACAGTGACTGCTTAGATGTACCGCTGCTCTCATGTTGTTGCAAGCCCGCTGCTGCCATGTAGGTGCTACCAATGGTCTTGATCTTTTCAATACAGCAGTACTTGGGTTTGGAAAGTAACTACATATGGAAAAGAAAACTTAGTTCGAAATACAAACTAATGATGTGTATTAAGCAAGCACACATATCTGCCATGATTGGAAATCAAGGTGAAGCATCATTGTTATCCCGTTCACTGGGCCTGAGAGTTCCTTGAAGAATACACAATTTTTCCTGTCATTTCAGCACAAAACATAATTCCACAATGACAACTACCTTCACCTTTACGTGTTCTCCTTTATCGACCATGTCTTTTCCAAGGACATGCCCAAACGTCTCTCTGACCAATGAATTCTATAAGTTTCTATTATGAAAACTGAATGTATATGTACATGTAAGAAATAATACTAGAAAAATGCAGCAATGTTTCACATCAACATCAACTGCAGGTGATTTGGGGTTGAGACAGGTTACATCCAGTGCCGGTGGTTTGGGGTTGAGAAAGGTTAAGTTACATGTATATAACAAGACCTCACCTCATCAAAGTCAGCGATGATTTCATTGAGTAATCTAAGACACTCAAGGCCTTCATTATTGACATCACTCTCCGTGTAGAATTCTTTGAAGTTGGGTATGGATGCAAACATGACAGCAACAACATTGTAGAACTGATGGTACAATTCCTATATCCAAATACAAGTAGGCAAAGTGGAACGAATTAAATTTCAAAAAGTCACGAAATGTTACACAAGCAACTTCAGTCTACACAATGAGAAATGAATGGAAATATTTCAAATTAAGAAAAGTCAGGGTCTTAAATTTCAAATAAAGTTCAGTAAGCATTTTGATTAAATGAATGCTTAAAAAATTTCAAGCAAGAAAGGTTTTGTAGCCAAAATAACAGGTTAAATATGTTTTGTGACTGTTTCTCAATTTATATTTACTTGGTAAGGCAATTCAAAGAGCTTAGTGAAAAAAACTCACTGAACCAATTGTTAAATAAATCTTAGGACACACAAGGTGTAAACTATAAACACTTCAATGTCACTCCCGTTTTGAGTAGGAAATTGTCACATTTTGGAATGTAAATGGAACTGAGACATCAATTGTCCTTGCAATTTAACAGAAACTGGATTCAACAATCTCCAACTAAGTCTAATTACTCACATCTGATTTCATCCTTTGTTTCATGAAATGTTCCGCAACATGTGCAGGCAACATGTTCTCCAGCAGCACTTTATTCAATGACTCCATTGTCTCAACTTCTTCCCTTTCAACTTTGAATTTCATCTGCCATAGGAACCCTTGCCGAGACAGGTACTCATTCTGTTATTATTCAAAAGTATACAAGAAAAAAATCATAAATCTTGTAGAGTTTAATTTGATTGTATAGAAATTCTGGTAAATGTAAAAAAAAGACTGATTCCTTTCTTGACTCAGTTAGAAGAACCAAATTCAAAAGATGAATAAAACGACATTTCAAAAGCTTTCTTTAAAAACATGAGTAATAATAGTATACATTTGTAAGTCATATTGAAATCTTGGTGCCATATCAAACCAGATACTCCATCAACCTTCGTATAAATTCATAACGCTGTAACTATGCACAGCAATATGACAGTAAAGCAAAAATCACCAAAGCCTTAGTCAGTAACAAACGATACAATGAACTTCTGTTTGGTATCCTATTTCTGCTGAGCAAACATATGATGCGTACTAAGCAGCTTCCTAACAGTAACTCTTTCAGTGGTCACTTCACAATGCTTGTCACAACAAAAGTACACTGACCTGTCTGGTGACAAGGAAAAGAGTAAACAGCATGAGGAGTAGCTCAACAGTTGCCATGACACGAAGAGGAATATTACCAACAATGCTGCAAAAAGGAAAATAATGAATGCTTATATCTCTGATTAGCAGGGAAAGGACAAAATACAACGGCAATCTAAAACAATTTCTGCCACATAAAATTAAGAAATCCAATATGCCCATATTATTATTATTATAACTGGTTTATTTCCTTCCCGTTTTGTAGCCAACAGGCTCAAGTGTATGGTGGATACATATAATATTAGATTAACATTTAAAAAAAAAACACATATTTTAAATGTATTAATTTGTGGAAACTATGGCAAATATATCATCTCATTCATGATGATTCCAAACTCACCCATGGTTGGTATAGACAGCATTATCCCAATTGTCAAAGACAACAGCATGACTGTAGTTGAAGATGAAACAATAAGCCCCAAAGCCTATCAACATCATGAGGAGTTTGATGCAGTAGCCAAGCTGGAGGAACATGACACAGGCAAGAAGAGCAAGTAGACAGCTCCTAGCAAGGTACTGAGAAGGAAGAAAGACAGAAATATAAAAGAAGATAACACCATTGAGACCCGCAAAGAGAAAGCTCTTGACAAACCACTACCAGACAGAAAAAAGAGACCATAAAGAATATTACTGTTGTAGGCACACTATCATTTGGAAACACTTTCTTCTAAAAAAAAGGAGCTGCCAAATCTATACGAACAGAGTGACATCTATTCTGATTGACCATTGATCAATAATCACTGTACTTACAGCAGGTGCCTTACAAGAGAACTGACCATTGTCAGTCATGTTCGCACCACTGCCAGTTTCTGTGAGGGTAGATTCATCGCCATAAATAGTTGATACAGTAAGAACTCCCGGCTGAGTCTCACACACAGACTTAAATCAAAAGAAAAGAAAGTAAATTAATCAATCGGCATCACTCTTAAAAAACAAAGAACAATAATATAATGTACAACAGATCCTGGTACAAATCCTGGTCAAAAATAGAAAAAAGCACACACACCAATTCCAGAAATTAAGTAATTATAACTTAATGATAATCATAATTTGGATTAATGTCATATTTTTCAGGCAGGAATAGGATAGGCAGCTTATATACTAAGCAATATCAGTTGGCTATTAGATTTAAGATACCAGGGAAAGAGATTCACAGGTGCAAGTCTGAGGCCAAATCAAGGACAACAACCTGTTTTCATTCTGAATATAAGTATCAAACAGACAGAGTGACAGGTACATTCATACTCACCACACTAATAATGGAGACAGTGAACAAGACAGCCATCGTTAGGAAGGAAAGAATCATACGCATCCAGCTTCGCCTTGTAACCACTTTAGCCAGCCATCCAATGGCAAGCTTACGAATGCACTGTCAGATACAAGAGTATTATTGACATAAGAAGTATCTCAAGACTACATGTAACTACTACTGAGAATAATGCCTATAGAAATCGTCAAATCAACCTGGCCTCACTAAATGCAATTTAGGAGCATCAGGTATTTGTGTCATGGGGAACATTCTTAGGAGAGAAAGCTTAAATGAGAACTATCCATGGCTGTCGAGGCCTTGCAAGAAATTCAGGATTTCCCTGATAGGCCTGACCATGTTCTCACAAAACAAAAGAAACAACCTCACATTTGACTAATTTTTCTGAATTGCTTTTCTAAAGTGATTTGTAGCCAATTTTCACCTCACCTTGAACTGTTCAGCCATACCGATAAATAGTACAAACAGGAGCACCATGGTAGCAACACTGAATGAGACAATTAACAGAATGCTCCGAGGTTGGGTGAGGAACTGGGAGATTAAAATGAAGCTGAACATCACGCACACGCAGGCAATGTAATACTTGAAGGATGGGTCTCGAATGCAGGCAAACTGAAGGAGATATCACAAAGGTTACAAAAATTAAAAAACTGGCTACAAAGAAAATTCAAAAGACACATAAACAGTGTGGGAAGAATATTCACTCAGTAAGGTTATGAGCTATTCCAAGAGGATTGAAACTTGAAACCTCCACAATACCATACATGTACCAGCACTGTACCAACTGAGCTCACCTAAACTGCAATGGTGTTTTCCCCCAATTGGCAATGTCTTTGTTGAGAGAATATGGACACATAGGGGGCCTACCAAGGCAGGGCTGGATAACAGAGTTACATGTAGTAACATGCCGGTGAGGTATTCCAAGAGGCATGCTTTGGTTTGTCTGATAGTTTTCAGTACCAACATTTTACAGAGAAAGATTTGCCCCTGCTAGTGCACAGGAGTTCACATCACCTTAGAAATGAACCTCTCAATTTCTTAGGATCAACTTTTACAGATCATACATGAATGAAAGTCAGTGAACTCATACATGCTGTGTGGCAATAGTAACAGATTTGAAATTACATTGCAACCTGATGAGTCACAGAATAAGAGGAAGTGACTAGGTTGGAATAGAACCCACCAATTCCACCTTAGAAACCAGAAGGAGAAGTTCTTAGAATGCAATCCTTACTATTCAAAAATTTGGCAGGGAGTTTAGTCACTAAAAAACTTCACATTTTTCACTAACCTTCTTTTCAAAGCTTGCTTTTCGGAAGAACATTGTTCCTCTGTGGAAGTCATCTGACCGTGACCAAGGCCTTCATAAGAGAAAAAAGTGAGTCGTTATAAATCAAATGTCTTACATCATGGGAAAAATGATAACAGGTTCATCCATTTTATTAGACAATTTTCAAGAACGTGTAAATCCTCAAGATTCATAATGTGCCCCTCAGATATAACACAACCACCTTAATCCTGACATGACTAATTGCAAATACTCTGAACTTTGAACCTGAACGAATAGCTAATAGGATGACCCTTGACCTGAAAGGATTGTACTTACTTCTCTGTGTTGATTGACTCAATGGCTTGCAACATCCTTTCATTAACTCGCCTATCGAACACAACTGTCTGCTTCTTCATTCTATTACCACAAAAACAAACAGTCATACAAACTGGGAACTCATGAAAGAAAGGAATATTGCTTAAGAAGTATGTCTTTATTTATTCACACAATTGAAAAGTGTCTAATATTTAGGATATAAGGACAACTTGTTCAATTTTCTTACTGCTTCTACAACTTCCTCCTAATTGTTCACAGCTCATTCCAAACTATTCCATAACATGACACAAACAGAACAATGCAAGACATTGGTGACATAACAATGCAACAATAATACTGCCAAGAAAAGTGAGACTTGATCTGAAAAATAGACAACAATTGAACTGTCAGATTACGACACAAGATGGCTCGACTTTTAAGCAGTAGATTTAACATAGCTTTAAGAGTTGAAAGCCTACCAGTAGATATAAAAACCAAACTGGATAACACATATACACTCATCTCATTCCATGACTCTACTTCAATTTTCATTGAATTTATGACTCTTTATTTTTTGGTATAATTGAACAGAGGAATTGGTACAAACGATCAGAGGAATCAATTTAATTTTATTTGATTGAATTAATTTACCTTGTGTTATGGTCCACAGGAGTGAATGGGAACAAGCAACAATTAACAGCAAAAATACCCTGCAGCAAAATGAAAAGATTTTTAGGCAACTCAACAAAAACTTCATTTTTAACTTAACAAAGGATCTTGATCCAAGACTCTGGGCCAATTTGTTTCACGCAGATCTGGATTGAGATCAATGATCCATCACTAGTTCACTAACCTCAAAACCCATC